GGGCTGGGAAGCGTGCGGTGCGCCTGGCACGGTGCTCACAACGCACCCCGCTGCCCCGCCTCGGGAAGGAGTGTGGGGCGGGGGAGGGCAGTGGGGGTAGTTGTGAAGCAACCTCTAAAGGATGGGACCACCTTTGTTAGACGCCACCGGGCTGTGGCTCCAGGGGCAGCCCGCTAGGAGTAAGTGGAGCAGCGTGGAGATTGGCACAACACTCGCTGGTTGTGACCTGCTCAGAAGGGTGCTTGGCGTGGAGGGGTGTGTGTGACTCCTGGGGAAGTTGGCACTGGGGTAAGCTCGGAGGTTAGCCAAGATGGGAACCGATGAAGAGGAGGGGGCAAGAGTGTCCTTTCTCTGCGGTTCCCTCAGTCCCCACTGGCCTGGTCTCAACCGTGAAGCATCTCAGGCTAGGCCCTTCCAGGTCTAGTGCTTGGGGCAGCGTTTGAGTCCAGTTTGGGGTATTCTAAGGTGGAGCCCCCTAACTCGCATGGAGTTCCGCTGTGGAATTCACTCAGGACAAGCTCTGATGAAAGCTGTTTTCCACCTTCCTTCCAGAGACCCCGTCCCAGGCGCCCCCAGCCCCTGGAACAGAGGAGGAGGAAGTCTCAGAAGCACCCCAGGAAGATGAAGCGCAGGCGTTCCCTCCTGCCAATGCCCTACCGGCCCGCAGCGAGGCCGCAGCCGTGCAGCCTGTGATTGGGATCAGCCAGCGGGTCCGGGTGAACCCCAAGGAGAAGAAGGATCTGGGGACCCTGGGTAGGATGACCCTTCTGCCCCCCAACCTTGCTGGATCCCTCACGAGATGCCATTTGCTGACTGTCCAGATTGTGGCTCATGGGACTTGTGCCTTCTCTTTGGCAGGCCACGTGCTGGGCATCACCATGATGGTGATCATCATTGCCATTGGAGTTGGCATCGTCTTGGGCTACACTTATAAGAGGTGAGTGTCCCTCTGGGTTCTCTTGAGAGGAGGGGCAGGGGAAGGCACACAAAGTCAAATCCGGCTACTCTGAGTCATTCTTACACAACCAGGAAGCCAGGTGTTGACAGTAGAACAGCGCACTACAGAGAGACTTGATTGTGGTCTCCACCTGGTGGCTGGATACAGCCTTTTCTCTGGTGCCGTTACTCCTCATCTGAAGGCTTAATCAGACCAGGGGTTCCAGCATCCCGTGGTACAGATGAGCAAGCTGTTGTCAGAGAAGTGAAGTGACTTACCCACTTACTCACGCTGCCTGAGAGTGGCAGAATCCGGTCCGAGTCTGGCCTTTTGGATGTTAGCTTCCCCAACTGTCTTGTCCAGGGTGCCTGGCATGGAAGGGGGTGGGGGTGGCTCTGCAGGAATTCGGCTGGCCACTCCGTGCAGGGCCAAGAGATGGAATTTTGTGTGTGTGAATTATGAAATTCTGCTGCTAATGACGTTCCACCCCCAGCCACCCTGTCTGTAGCTGGGGTTTGGGTGGGTTGAACCATCTCACTCCCTGTGATGGAGTCGATTGTGATTCACTGTCACAGAAGGAAGCAGTTGGAGAGCAGAGAGCCTGGGTACTTTTGTCACCTCATCTTGTATGAGGAAGCCCAGGAGGCTCTCTGGGACACTCAGGGACCTGGTCTGTGGTTGGGACAGTAAGCAGAGAAATAGTATTTTCAAAAGTCCCTGAGAGTGGCAGTCATTTTTGCAACCCTGGCTGACTCTGGGAAAATCATTTACCAGGCCTGGGCAAAATCCCAGAGTCTGTCTTCCAGCCCTGTGCGTTGGTACTTTTTTTTTTTCTTTCCTTAAGTGGTCTGAGCAACCCCAATCTGAGAACCATGCTTGAGCCACAGCT